TCCAGTCATATGGGTTAAACTCTAAACTGCTGTGTCCAGCTGATCTCAGGTCTACTGGGCCGTAGCGCAGCAGCCTCTGCCCCGGCGTCAGTCTGTCTGCCTCGATATCAAAAACGCAGCTGACCACTGAACTGAATGAGCTCGCTGTCGCCGACGTGAACGTGATCTGCACGACAACGACCCGGCACTGCCCGCAGTTAATTACAGTGCTTGGTCGCTCGCTTCACACGGACCTTTTCCAGATGTCTTGAAAGAGTAACAGGAGTGAAGCAAGAAGGAAGGAGAGATTAGAGAGAGAGAGAGAGAGTTAAGAAGGGAAAATGAAAGTAAACTTTTTCCTGGCCTGGCGTTAAAACGTGACCACTGACTGGCTGTGATACAGGTTAACGCCGTCCTCCCCCAGTGGAGGCAGCAGAGCCTGGGGTGAGGAGTCGGTTGCCTGTTTCATGGGTAAGTGTTTGTCTTTGTGGTTGTTACAATATTGGCTTCTTCTGAGCGCGGTGGCACGCTGCAGTGTCCCAGCGGTGCGCCGGCACAGAGGAGCCTGAGGCACACTGCAGGCCATGGAGAGGGATTCCTTCCATCCACCTCCTTTCATCAAGAAAGAACAACATGGGCCTGCGCTGCGTCCTGGCCCCTTGGACCAGCGTAGCGCACCAGGGATAATCAGATGATCCCCTTTTATACAGCTTATTAGAGGCATCTCGTGCGGAACCGTCGGCCATATTTTCACATGCATGTGGCCCTTTGGAGAGATGGGGTGATTTAAAAGAGGGTTAAGCAGAGTTTGAAGTGCCTGGAGAAGACACTTTCATACCGTCTTAAGGATGTGGATGAGTGGAGAGTTCCAATTAACAATGACAAGATTAAATGTAAAGAGGAATTAAGAATTTCTGAAGATCTTAAGACGTTAAAAGTCGGTGCTCAGCATTTTGGTCTCGTTATCAGTCAACAGCAACAACCGCCATTGTTTTAAACTTAGTTTCTCCGTCAAAGATTGGTTAATCAGGAAAGTCACAGATGCGAGCGGCAACAATGGGCTCTGTGGTGATGAGCAGTGGTACCGGCAACAATGGGCTCTGTAATGAGCAGTGGAAGAATGGAATCAAGACGACCAAATATTCTTTGGGGATTCCTCAGCAGGATGTGAAAACCCGTATTTTTAAATATTGCTGCCGTTTGTGCTCAATAAGCAGAACATTTGGTTACAAAAAATCTGCTCCTTGTCAATAAGCAGAACATGTTGTCAATCCTCTGCTTCTCTACTTCAATTTTAAGACCTGATTTGCTCAAAACATCAAGACAAGTGCTGCGCAACATTACCTAGTTCTTTTTTTAGACACTTCCTTGCCTAGTCTTTGTGAACTACTCTCACTGACCTTCATGCTTCAGCCAATCGTAGTC